GAATGTGCAAACTCTTTGGTGGGGTTTTTGGGGATGGTATGGCATATGGAGAGGTGGTTTTTAGTAAAATTGTAAGAGTTCTTTTTGTATTCATCAAATAATATCACAATGATCTGTGACCAGCTCGGTGGTTTCATGTTTATGAAAGTATCTTTCCAATTGGACATGTTTGAAAAAAATTTATTTATAAAAATACAAATATATAAATGAATTTTTATTTTTATAAACTTATAAAATTATCATGTATATCATAATAGATAATACATGAAGAAAATCTTATAAAAATTAACTTTGGTATTCAAATTAAAATTAAAATAAAAATGTATACAGTATATAGAGTAAATAATATTTTTAAAATTTAAATATTTAAATAAATGTTTTTTTTAAATATATATACATATATTTTATATATTATATATTCTTATTTACTGTATATTTACAGTATATTCTATATGAAATTTAATAAAATTTGATAAAAATATTGTTTTAAAATTTCTTTTCAATGTGAGTTGTGGTCAGTTACTATAGGCAAACTAACATTTAACTCATTGTACCAACCTATAAAAGATGTTGTTTCTTTTACAATATTTATTTTTTTATATAAATATAAAATAAAGAAATAATATTTACTTACAATATATATATATATATATATATAATTACAAAACTTAAATGTAAAAAAGCCTAAATATTAATAAAATTAAAAATTACAAAATATCAGTTTAAAATTTTATAAATTAAATTAAATCAATTATTAATTTAAATATTTTATTAATTAAACAAATAAATTACTGATTTAAATTGTAAATTAAATTGAATTATAATTATAAATAAATTTATAAAATATTTTTTTAAAAAAAATACTTTTTCAAAAATTACAAACCTATTAAAAATATTCTTTTTTGATAATTTTTCAAAAACATTCTAAAAAATATTCAAGAAGATATATTATTAAAAAAAACCATATCACTTATTTTTAAAAATATTACAAATAAATATATATAAGTATATATACTGTATATGTTAAATTTCAATAGTAGCTATATAGGCCAAATATGTAAAATAAAAAGATACAGTAACTTATCAAATATTAATATAAATATTATAAAACATCTATTGTTTCTTAAATAGTTAAATCAATAGGTTAGGATAGTTTAAACTAGTGATAGAATTTTTATCTTTCATATAAATCACCCTTAAAAAATATAAATTTATTTCATAAGTATCAATAGTAATACCAAAATAATAAAGTAGATAG